AATAGTAATTTCTATTAATTACTTATTACTATTTAAATTTATTAGTAAACTTTACTAATTCAGAAGCAAAAATTTGGTCACTAATTCAAATTACCAAACGTTTTTACAAATTCAAATTTAGAAAGTAGTTTTTGCCTTTGAATTGCGGTAAATTTTACTAAGAAATAATAATTTTCATTAATTTATTAGTAAAATTTAGTTAATTTCAATTCAAAAACAAAATGTCAGTAAATAAGTAGTAATTTCTATACTAATTTATCAGTAAAATTTTAAATTTTAAATTTACAAATTCAAAAGCAAAATAAGTTAGTCATCAAATTTAAATCAGTAAACATTTTTACTAATTCAAATTTACACTGAAAAAAAAAATTTAATTGATTCAAATAACCGATTAATTTACTATTATCAATTAAATATTTACTTGAATCGAATAATTTTTATTTGAGTCAATTAAATGGTACAATTCATATTTCCTTCAAATACTGAAATTATTGATTCAAATACCATTTAGTTGATTCTAATAAATATTATTTGATTCAATTAAATATTTAATTATAATAATAGTCAATTAATCGGTTATTTGAATCAAATAAATTTTTTTTTTCAGTGTAAAGTGATCATTTTTAATGAAAATATAAAATCTTTTATAAATGATCATTTAAAATTAGAACCACTATTAGTACTAATTTTCTCCCCTTAATTGAAGATTGCATTAAAATAATAAGCAATTGTTTGACAAAAAGAAAGGGTAATATATAAATTGAACAATTTTTAATGCGTTAATTTGTATGCAAATGAAGTCGGTTATGGAAAGAGAGAGAGAAAGGGAGAGAGAAGAAAGAAAGAAAAGAGAGTGAGAGAGAGAAAATGACACAGAGGGAGAAAGGGGGGGGGAGAAAAAGGGAGAAGAAGAGGAAGAGAGAGAAATAGAGATAGAGTGAAGGACAGAGAAATAGAAGGAGAGAGAGAGAGAGAGAGTATATACTCGATTCCATGGAATTCTGCGGAAACTCAAGAGTTGTGGCTCAACAATCTGGGATTTTGGCCCTCCCCCCCTCTCTCTCTCTTCATTCAAGTAGTTCGAAGGAGAGCATGGGAAAGTCTTTGCGACATCTCATTCTCACCAGCCCACTCCACGAGGATCCCTTTATCTTAATTCTATTACGTTTTACAAGGCGCAGCGTCTCTGCGGGCAAACTCACTTTGCAAAATATACCTAACCCCGTACGAACGGACTCGACCCGAGCCGTCCAATTTCATACTTCCTTTGACAGTCTGAAAAGTCATTGCGTCCACACCGTTCCAAAAGAGCTTTTATCCCACACCCTCTCTTTCTCTCTCTCTCTCTCACACACCCCCCACTATATATGATACCCAAGCACTGTGAAAAGAGAGAAGAATCGAGATAAGTCATCCTTTACTATAAATGAATTGCGCCAGACAACACCGAGAGACGTTTTATTTTACACACACACACATTCACACAGTGTGAGAGGTCCTAATTATCTTTCGAGAAGGGCAAATTAGACATTAAAATAAAAAAAAAAATTTGTCACCTTAAAAAGAAAAAAGTTATATTACGGGGAATATATATATGAAAGATGAGAATATAAAAATTATTTTTCGTTATGCTAATAATATGGTAAATTTAATTAAATTTGGATGATTTAAGCCTCTTGCTTGACTAAAGTTGCATTGCAAATATTTGATATCAGTGGTAAAGGCTAGTTTTAGTCAGACAAATTATTTTCACTTTTGTTTACTCAAACTCGATGTGTTAATATTATAGTGGTATAAGCCAGGGCTCGAACCACAGTGAAAGTATTTAAAAATTCGGACTTTACGGACCAAGAATTAAAAATTACGGACCATTTACGGACAAAAATATAACCAGTCCGAGTAAAATAATCCATTTGTTTACAACATTCGATTTTACTAAAATTTCAATTATTCGGTAAATTCTCCAATTAAATATATAATAGAAAATAAAAACTTTAATCAATATAAAAAAAAATTCAATTAAACTTTTCCAAAAAAATTAATTTCAAAATTTAATTATTTCCAAAAATTCACGCTATATTCCTTTTAATATTTAATTATTATCTCAAATTTTAACTGAAATTCATCTTTACTAGAATTCAATTATTTAAATATAAAAATAAATAAGTTATTGAATAATACAATGTTTCTTAAAATTCAATTCTCATAAAGAATTTTATCAACAAATTTTTAAATAATTCAATTTTTTTGATGAATTTTAATAAAATTTTTAAGAATAATTATATTTTTCGAAAAATTTCATTAAAATTGTTTTAAAAATAATTGAAATTCTGCGATGAATTTTATTATTTATGAAAATAATTGAATTCCTAAAAAGAATTTTATTATTTTTGAACATATAATTAAATTTCTGAGAAGAATTTTATTACTCTTATGAAAATATTTGAATTTCTGCAATAATTTGTAATTTCTCCAAAATAAAATTTTTTTTTCGTGTTTTTAACTAAAATTCTTCTATAAATCTATTCTTTTTAATAATTTTTGAAAAAGTTCTTTGAGAATTTTCAAATTCATTTGTTTACAATTCAATTTTCCAAAATTTCAATTATTCGAAAATTTTTCATTTAAATATATATTAGAAAATAAAAACTTAAAAAAAATAATTTCAAGTAAAATTGAAATAAACTTTTTCAAAAAAATTAATTATTCTACAGAATTGTTAGTTAAAAGTATGAAAAATTAAAATTTTCAAAGATTCTAATATGAAACCTTTTCAAAATTCAATTATTTAAATAAAAAAAAAATCATTGAATAATTGAATTCTTATAAAGAATTTTATCAACGAATTTTAATTATTTTAAGGGCATTTGAACCTTGATGACGTCACACATGCTTTGCACAAATTGTAACGTCATCAAGGTTCAAATGCCCTTAATTAATTTAATTTAATTAATTCAATTAATTAATTTAATTAATTAATTTAATTTAATTTTAATTATTTTTTTTAATTGAATTCTTTTGACGAATTTTAATTAAAGTATTAAAAATAATTACACTTTTCGAGGAATTCCATTAAAATTGTATTAAAAATAAGGCATTATATTCCTAAAAAGAATTTTATTTACGAAAATAATTCAATTCTTGTAAAAATTTTTTTATTTATGACAATAATTAAACTATTTAGAAGAAATTTATAAAAAAAATTTGTAAATAATTGAATTGAGGAAAATTTTTAAAAATAATTGAAATTTTGACAAGAATTTTATTAAAATATTTGAAAATAATTGAATTTCGGAGAAGAATTTAATTATTTCTAATTTTCTATAAAGATAATTGAAATTTTAAAGATAATTTTTTTTAATTTTTAAAAATAATTGAATTTTTGCAAAGAATTTTATAACTTTTGAAAATAATTGAATTTCTGACCTGTATAAGCTCATTTTGGTCAGACTTTCAAATTTATTGATAAGTACTAAGAGTCAATTTTTAGTCAAACTTTGATATTCATTTTAAAATAAATTTTATTTCAGTAGTAAAATCAGTTTTAGTCAGACGAAACACATTCTTTCTTTTTCTACAATATATATTGGCAGGAGAAGTAATTTAAGTCAAAAAAATGTTATTTTCGTATATTTTAGTTATGTTTTCAAGATACTAGTAGTAAAGGTCTGCTATAGTCAGAATATTAGTATTAATAATAAAAGAAAATTTTAATCAGACTTTTAAATTTTTTAGTAAGAGTAAATTTTTAATAAGAGTAAATTTTTTTAGTAAAAGTAAATTTTTAGTCAGACTAATATTCAGTAGCAAAAGTCGTATTCAGTCAGACAAGATGCATTTTCTTTGTAAAATAAATTTTATATCAGTAGTAAAATCACTTTTAGTCAGACGAAGATGATTTTTTCCCACATTTTACATCAGAGTAGTAAAAGCAGTTTTGGTCAGACGAAAAGTCGTCTCTCTAGTCGTAATTTGAAAATCAATAGTAGAAATTAATTTTCCCCATTCTTTAAAACTATTATTTACAGTAGTACGAGTGGACTTTAGTCAGACTTGAAGTTTTTGAAAAATATACTTTCAGTGTCAGTCAGACAAAATTATATGTATTTTTCCAAAATTCACATCAGTGGTAAAAGCAGTTTTAGTCAGACGAATTGCAGCAGACTTGACCTTAGTTCTCAGTAGAAAAAGTACAAGTGTTTTTGTAAATACGATTTTCAAGTAGTGTTAATCGTTTCTAGTCCGACTTTACAATTCCTAGAAATTTTTTCCTTGTAAATCTAAGTGTAAAAGTAGTAAAAGGAGTTTTAGTCAGACCCACAGTTTTTACTACCTACTGAAGAGTCGTTAATACTAACAGTAGTAGCAGTCAATAGCTAGTCAGACTTTTCCAGTAACTTTCAACTTTAGAATCAGTAGTATAGTTTCATTTCAGTCAGACTTGCGATTTCTTGTCAATTTTTCAGTTTTCAGTGATAGAACTCAATTTTTCGTCATACTTACAAGTTTCTATCAGTTTATACTCAAAGTTTGAAGTCTTTTTAAAGTAAAATATTTTTAAATTCTAAATAAAGTTTGTAATTTCAGTCAGTAGTATAAGGTTTATTTTACGTCAGACTTATTTTCTTGTTTCTAGGATTTTTATTCGTTCTTCGACTCTAGAAATCAAAATTCAAAAAAATAAGTTCGGTACTTGGACAAAAGTTCTTTTAGTCTTTCAGTTTCGGGAAAATTTCCTTTTAAGTAGTACAAGTCAATATCAGGCAGACGAGCAAATTTATATTCATATTTTAATTAACAATAATCATTATTATTATTATTCACAAAAAAATAAATTAACAACAAATATTAATTAACCAATATGGAAAATACGAGTAGAAAAAAAAGAAACAAGAAATTATACTAAAATTCCAATTTTATTTAATTAAAGTAGTTTAATGAAATATCGATTGCTTTATTAATGAAGAAGACTGCTAATGAACTTCTCCTTTATTTTGCAGAGAGGTATGACACAGCATACGCTTGCGAGAGCAAAACACTGCGGATAGAATGCAAAGAGGGGGAGTTGATACACCTCATCAGGGCGAACTATGGAAGGTTCTCCATAACGATATGCAACGAACACGGGAACACTGACTGGAGTGTCAATTGCATGTCGCAAACTTCTTTTCGAGTTCTCTACAACAAGTAAGCTATATATTTTTTTTAAATTCCTCTACATTTAAATAATAAATAAGCACTCAAAAAATATATTTCCAAAAAAAAAAGAAAACGAAAAATGGCTCACTCGAATTTTATATAGCAATGCTCAAGCAAAAAGTTACTCGTGTATTTTAATATAGAAATTAAAAAATTAATTAAAGAACTACTGCAATTTTTATAAATAATATTTTAATTACTAAAATTTTTATTAAAATATTAATTTTAATTTAGAAATAAAAATATTTTAATTACTGCGAGAACTTAATGTACCTAATTATTACAGTTATCAAAATTATAATTATTTCAATAATAATTATTATAATTAACTTCATTTGTTAACTTCTTCACCTTTAATAATTATTATATACGAATTAAATTTCTTTACAGCTACTTATAGAATTATAAATGTTTATATAATTATTTACAGAACTAGATGTATAATTATATGTACAATAATTAATTGCAATTTAGATGTTCAGTTACGCAACTCAATTGTCTCATTCAGAATAAATTGACAAAAGTTTATTTCCAATATCAATAAAACACATTCTTCTATTGTTTTTATTAACAGTTAACTCATTAAAAAAAACTCTTTCAAAGGAAACATAATAATTCTCCAAGATACAAATTTTATTTCATTCCTTTTTTCAAGTTTTATTCAATAAAGAACATTTTCCGACGAGATAAAAAAAAACACATTCGTTCTTGCTTTGTTCAGTCACAAATGGTATTTGTCTTAATTACCATTTCTGTATACGAGAAAAATTATAATTTTTTTTTAACAATAATTTTTATTCAAACAAAAAATATTTATTATTATTATTCCGTATACGATGAAAATTATAATTAATTTTTAAAATAATTGTTATTCAAATAAAAATATCAATTATATTCATTTTTCTCCTGTGAGTTTTGTTAATTTCTTTTCTAATAATTAAAATATTAAAAACGATTTTCAATGTAAAAATTATGTTTTTTTTCACACGATTAGAATTAAAAGTAATTAAACCAAGAATTTTGCTAAAAATGTATTAAATACTAAAAAATAGAAAAAGAAAATTTGTGCGTAAATTAAAGTATTTTTCTCCTCGCAAGAAATAATAATTAATATCATAATATATAGAGTCTTGGAAAATTAAAATGTTACCTCACGAGATAGAAAAAATTAATTAAATCGTTATAAATATGCCAGGAAATTAATTGAAAAAGGAATTACAATTTAAAAAAAAGAACAGAAAAAATCAAGAGGAATTTAGAATAAAATCATAATTTTCAAACTAATTCATTAAGAAAATAAGAACTAAGAAGGATAATAATAATTACGATATATCTTACCAGAAAAAATATTGTACGGATAAAGTCTCATTTTTATTGCTATTTACTTTTATTACTCGTAAAATGCAAATAGAATTTATGCAACCACTTTCAAATATGAGAACATATATGCAACATCACATTTTTTTTTCCATCAACTTTTATAATTTTTACTGATGATTTATACATCAAGTGGAAAATAAATTTTTTTATGACTTCATTTCACAAGTTTTCTGCTTATTTGGCACGAAAAAAAATTGCTTCAGTTGGAAATTATTATTCAAAAAGGGCTTTAGAAAGAAAGACAACAACAAGACAAAAAACAAAAAATTGCAAACAAAGAAAACAAAAAAAAAATCAATGTAGTAAAATTTAACTAAAACAATAAGTAAAATTTTTTATTGTCTTTATCACTTATTTTCTTAACTAAAATTCCAGTGGAAAATAATTTAAAAATTTAGTGTTCAGCTTAAAAAGGTAAACAATTTCTTTTCCACTTTTTATTTGCTCAAATCGAAGTAAAATTTTACTGAATAAATTAGTAAAAATTCTTACAACTCAATTTTTTTTCTCTTTCTTTAAAAAATAGAAAAGGAATTATCCTGTTTGAAAAAAAGAAATAGAAAAAAATGAAATGATAATTTTTTTTAATTTTATCTAAATCAAGTAGGGAAATTAACCATCTTTCTCTAAAGAGAGAAAGAGAGAGAGAGAGAGAGAGAGAGAGAGAGAGAGAGAGAGAGAGAGAGAGAGAGAGAGAGAGAGAAATAGAAATAGAGAGAGATAGAGACGTATAAAGACATATATATGTATCCAAATTGTAATTATCTTAATGAGCAATTGAGTGGTTAAACTAATAATAAATCTTGCATCTCTTAGAAGATATAGGATAGCTCTTATCCTGAATTGCAGTAGAATTTCGTTGAATCAAGTGACTTTTGCTGAGCACGCCTAAAATGAGATTCGATCGATGCCATTTCCCTCTATCCCCCCCTCCCCTCCCCTCTCTTTTCCCACTATCCTCTCACAATATAGTTAGAACTATCCCCTTGAAATCTCTCGAAGATAAGAAATAAAGAGTAAGAATTGAGATGAAAAAAAAAGAAAAAGAAAAAAAAAGAAAAAAACAAGGAATAGAGTGGTGAAGCACACAGCTTCACGTGGTCCTGCGAACTGGCCAATCGCTTGACCATTGGAGCGTGTATTGGCAGTGGATCGGTTCAGGTAGAGAGAATCGCCAAGTCAGCGCTATTCTTCTCTATCCCCACTCGATCTGCTGCGAAATCCACTCTATTTCCTTCAATCTTTTTCCAAACCGCTCACACCATACCCCCCCCCCTCCCCCTTCCCTCCTTTTTCCCACTAAAAAATAAAAAAAAAAATCATTGTCTCCTCTCCAAACCTAATCTAAAATATACTGTCTTTTCATTTCTTTTATTTTATTTTCCCCCACATTCGTCCTTACTTTCCTCGTTTAATTTCTCTTTATTTTGTTTTTTAGTAGACGAATCAAAACCTCCTCGTGAGGTTAAAAGCCAAGAAATTGCCAAACGCCATTTTTGTTCGTTTTAGTAGTTATTATAAAAAATTTTTTTGTATTAATTCATTTTTTTTGTAATTTATAATATTTATTAATTTTTATCGTCCTTTCATAGTATTTTATTATATTTATTAATTTTTACTAATATTTTTATTATTTTATATAATTTATTAATTTTTACTAATATTTTTAGTATTTTATTTAATTTCATTATTTTTATAATATTTTTTTGACAATCTATTTAATTTAATTATTTCTATCTTTTTTTATTTTGCTATATTTTTACTATTTTTTTCTTCGTATTTTATTTATTTATTTATTTTATGACATTTATTAATTTTTACATTTTCCTATTTTGTTTCATTTTATTTTTGCAATTATTATATTATTCTATTTATTTATTACAGCTATTATTTATTTATATTTTATACTTTATTCAATTATGTTTTATTTACTTATTTGTATTCATATTTTTATTTATTATTAATTTTTATTATTTAAATATTATTAAATTTTTATTATTCTTTCTTGGTCTTGTTATTTATTATTAATTTCTAATAATTTATTTTTAATTTTAATTATTCTTTCTTTTCTGAACTTTATTTATTAGTTTTTTTTTTCTTATTCTTCTTTTCATATTCATTTAATTTAAAAATTTATTATTTTCTTGTTTACATTCCTTTTTGATTTAATTTCATATTTTAGAATTTCATTTTAAAGCGTTTTAAAATGGCGATTATTTGGCAATTTTCTAGACTACACATTGGGTCGGATAAAAAAAAGTGCAAAAAAATCAGGACTACTATTTATAAATATTTAAATAAATAAATAAGTAAAAAAAAAAAATCACGTCGATTGAATTCTTTTTTTCTCTATTGAATTGAAAAGTTTTTTAAAATTATTTGTTCTCTTCGAAAAAAAACACTCGTTAAAAAAAGTAATTTTTTTTATTATTCCGAAATAATATTTTTTGTTTAAATAAAAAAAAAGAAACAAAAATACAAAAAGGTAAAAAAATGTAAAGAGAAAAAAATAAAAACTGAGAAATATAAACAGTTTAAAAAATAAATAAAAATCGAGAAATAAAAAGGTAGAAAAAAGTAAAGAAATTAAATAAAAATTGAGAAATAGAAAGGTAGAAATTTTTTTTTTTTTTTTAATATTTACATTTAATTTACAATATTGAAAATAACATTCAAAGAAAGAAAAAGAATTCAACTTTTCATAACCACAATAATAATTATTTCACCAAAAAAAAAGTCAAGAATATCAAAATATAATAATTTCGCTGAATAGAGAAAAAAAAGGAATAAAGCACAAAAAAAGGCAACAGCTTTTGCAATGCGAAACAATTAAAATTTTATTCGTTCCCAGCTTTTAATTACCTTTATTATGAGTTTCTCTGCTTTATGTTCGATTTAATCTTTGAAAGTTCATTTGAAGAAATTTCATTTAGAAATTTAAAAAAAAAATTCTTTTCATTTTTTTCTCCTTTCTTTTTTTTCTTTTCCATTTTTGCTGAATTGACAAAAGTCGAACAATAATATTCTTTTCTTTTGCCCTCTTTGGAGAAAAGGTCGCGTAAAAATGATAATCTTGTAAAGTTAGATTATTATGCAGAAGGGTACAATTTAAGGAAAAGTATTTAAAAAGTTTCATAGCGACTCGTGCCGAGTTTACGAGACGTCGCAAAATAACTTTTGAATAAACTTTTTTTTTTCTTTCATTCTGTTTTTTTTTTTTTGCATCGAGAAAACTTCACAACTTGCTGTTTGATCGTCTCGCCTAGAAATATGTACACCATGAATTACAGAATTTGTAAAATCTGTCGAAGCAAAAAAAAAAAAAAAAATACTTTCAAAGATCAAATAAGTGACTTCAAATTTTTATCTCTCTTTTTTCCGAATAAAAAGTGTCAACAACGTCCTGATTGGTGCGCTCTTTTTTATCCAACCGGAAATCATGTGTACAAAATACAAACGTATTTTAATAGAAAATTTTATTTCTATAAAAATACTTTTATTTTCGAAAAAAATTCATTGTAATAAAAGAATTTTATTTTCGAAAAAAATTCATTTTAATAAAAGAATTTTATTTTCAAAAAAAAATAATTCTAATAAAAGAATTTCAT